TTTCGCGCCTTCAAATAAGTCCAATCCGGGCAAAAATCACAGTACGGATGTGACAAATCCTTCGAACAGCGAAAACGGATAAGAAAATTCACAAACCCCAAATCTTAAAATCACAATCTCCTCCATATCTGCTCTCTGTGAGAAGCGGAATTCGTGAAGTAGTCTGAGTGGTAGCAAATGCCAAAAATAATCAGAAACGCTGGCAAGGTTTCCGACGATTACCTTTTTCAAAGGTCCTCTTCAAGCAAACTGGTAGCGGTTCACTACATACGCCAGTACAAACTTACTATCGATCCTTCTACTTATTGCTGTCATCTTCCTTTTTTCCTTTTCCATTAAGCACTGCAACCGTCATACTAGTGACGAGGTCCTGTCGCGCGGTGTTGAGCTAAGGCGTATATGACTTAATGAACCGAAACGTCTTATCTCACTTTTATCTCCTTCTCCTATACTATAATCTAACGCGCTTTCGCCATTTAGGTTTCTAGGGTCAACCTGGTTGCTACAGTCTGCTTACTGCTGAAATAAATCCAAGAAATGATTAGCTGTCCCAGCGGCAAAGTCGAACCATCGATTTCCATCATATTATGTGTTTTCTGTTGTGTAACAGCAGTACGAAACGCATATTGTCACGGGGTTGTCTGTGTGTGTTTGTGTGTATGCGTGTTTGTGTGTGTGTGTTGTGTGTGTGTGTGTGTGTCCGCAGCAACTTGTTAGTATTACTTGCCACTGCGCCATGCAAGCAGATATTCGAAAAAAATCAAAAAATGACAATTAATGCAACCGTTTACCTCACTCATATCCAAAATCTGCTCCTTTCCTCCGGTTGATATCGTCTCTGCTGAGGTGCTTTCTGTAACATTTATGAAATAGAAGAATGCAAGGATTTCATGTGAAAGCCACGCGTATGAGAAGACATTTTATGATGCAGTCTGTGAAAAACAAAAAGAGAAAGGTATATTAACAAGGGATGAAATAAGAAGGATCAAAAAGGAAGGTAAGAAACGAGAATTTCAAAATTTGTAAAATTATTATAATGGTAAGAAATGCTTTGGCCCATTAAAAAGTTTTATACATTTCTTGCCACTACCACAATTTCAAAAAAGTTATTCCAAAGCAGTGATTTTTTCAGTGTCCCCTAGCTGGTAAGGCCCCGACTTCATCGCGGCCTAGGATTGGCAACGTTCGAAATGGATGATGCTCAACACACATTAACAGAGTCTTGAACTGGTCTGAGTCTTGCTAACTGCTTTTGCCAAAAAAATCACTGAACTAGTAATCCAGTCAGAGGGGGAAACGAACAACAAAATCCCACCAGGCTAATCAATGTCATGCAGAACTGGTTATATCAAGAGAAAAATTGCCAGCTACGTAGATAAAGAACCAAATCTACAGATCCAAGTCCAAATTTTTTTATCTATAGATCCAGGCCCAAATTAATAAAAATCTACTAAGAAAAGAGTCGAGAAACATGATAATCCGCAAAATCATCAACGCTTTTTTAACAAAATTCGCTGTAATTCAGTTGGAGTCACAATAACAGAGCAGCACAGTATAGCGAAAGTTAATTAAAATTACGAAAACCATACAGATATATCCCGTGCACCTAGAATTCCCTGATTCCTGGGTAAATAAGCCCAATAAAGGAAAATTAAACTGTTTACACACCTGTTGACTTGGAAGTCCACACTTGAGATTCTTCGGTCTTTCT